GAAGGCAGATGATAAGTGCTCCTCAATTTCCCGCTTTAGTTTTCAAGTGGGCCTCCGGAAAGAATCTATGCCCGGCCCTTGAGATGCGCATCTCACAGATTCTAATGATCCTGTTAAGGGAAATGACGATCGACCGCAGAATATCAGGCACAAAAAGGTCCGCGTATCTTTGTGTATCTCAATGCCAAAAGATTGGGATTTGAAATTAAATTCGCTCTGGCGAATTTAATTCGGACGTATATATAAATATTGAATCCGTCGCGTGTAAATATTTGAAACGTGTGAACATAAAACCATTGTGTTCGACAATGTATAATAAATAATAAATTGTTGCTAAATTAATTATCAATTAGATATCTAGGTGCTAGAAAATGTATATTTACATAGATTTATATTAATTGTAATTTATATAACGTGAGGTTGCGAAAATTTCAGCCTCGATCAGGGCAACCGCAACCGAGCGGGAGCCACTCGAGATTCGCTGTTATTTCTCTTCGAAATACGGATCTCTTCCCGAGAAAACGTCGTGCATCGATACTGAAATTGGACTCATCGAGAATATACCGGTTCCGATATCTGATTTGCGACACTGCGCAATCGAAATTATGCTCCACGTGAACGAAAGTCATGCCGAGTTTCCCACCGGGATCGCAACGAAGCGGAGCGTAATTTATTTTTAAATGGATCTGTCTCGCGGTTGTGACGCGACTAAAATTAACGGCAAATAAAAATACGCGTTGCGATATCTCGCAGCCGTCGTCTCGCGCCGTTTCTCTCTTTCTTTCCTCCTCTCTTTCTTCTAAGTGAGAAAACCGAGCCTTCCTTCGCACTGTTCTCCTGTGAAACGTTATTCGTCGAGGCGGATCATGCCCGCGTTAATTCAGACTTCAAAGGCGGTATCGCGCGCAATTACTCGGATTTGTTTTCCTTCAATTACCGAGATTCTGTGGATGCCGACGAACGGACAGAAATAAATCCGACGACAGCGTACACATCTTTCAGTAGGAAATTAGGAATTGATTCCGATTATCAGTGTGTAAATCGAGATATTTTACCTGCATCTTTCGGATTCAAGATTCCATTTACCTTTTATTATCTCGTTTAAACACAAAAAAAAGAATATTGATTTTAAATTTAAGATTATACAAATATAATATAATATATAAAATTTTAGTTTTGAGTTGAATAAGAAAAATAATACCTGCAAATTCAATACAAATTCAATCAAATTAAAGATTAAAATTTTTAAGAAAATTGTAATATTCTTGATTATACAAATTTAATCAAATCAAGACTAAAATTTGTAAAAAATTTATAATATGCTTACTATGAGAGTATTTTTCTTGATTTAAGATTAATTTCTTTTTTGCGTATATTCTTATATATAAGCAAGAATATTATAATCTTCTTATAGAAATATTAATCTTAATTTGATTGAATTTGTATCGATGCAATTATGAATATTGTCATATATAAGCAAAAGTATTTATAATCTTCATGTAGAAGATTTTTAGTCTTCAATTGAGCAAAAAGTAATACTTGCATCAATACAAAGTTAATAAAATCAAAACTAAAATTTTTAAAAATATTATGGAAATATCTATATTTGCATCAATATAAATTCAATTAAATCAAGACTAACATTTTTCTAAAAAAATTATAATATTCTTGCTTATATATGAGAATATATAGAAAAAGAACTTTAAATCAAGACAAATATTATAAGCAATTTGATTAAATTTGCATTGATGTAAAATATTACTTTTGTTTTCAACTGAAGACTTCCGTATGAAAATTATAATCTTCTTGCTCACGTATAAGAATATTTGTCTTGAATTTAATTTTTTTTTTTCTATGCCCGGACAAACGGATTGCGATTTCGATGGACCTGGACCCGAGAGAGGGGGTTCAGAAACCCAAACTCGAGAAGGACTCGGAGGGCTGCGACGAAGCTGCGAAAAACACCGGCCGCAATTTGCGGCTTCGCTCGTCGTCCGCGAAGGTACAAACACACTCGGCGATGGGGAGAGAAAGAGAGGAAGTACGTTTTTCGCGGTATCGAAAATAGCAGAGAGCGGAGGCTGCGCTTGAATTCTAGACGCCGTGTTACCGAGACAACGACACGCGCCTCGCGTACACGTCGCCTCCGCCTCGCGTTTCCGCGCGCGCTCCGCCGCCTATCATCATCTTCTGCCTCACCTCGTTTTCCGCCGTTTTCTGCCGTTTTCGCGCGAGTACCGGTTAGCGTGCCGGTATAAATACCGGACTGACCACGTAATCGCGATGACTAAAGAGCCCGCGCGCGGCCGAGTCGCGCCCGAACGTTGAAAACGCTCGTGCGGGCGCTCCCGAAAGAAATTCGCGGCAAATCGAGGAAGAGAGAGAGAATGAGAGAGAGAGAGAGAGAGAGAGAGAGAGAGAGGAGGAGGGGAGAGATACGTACGTCCGTTACCGTTAC